ATAAGAAAAATAGAAGTGGTAAAGTGTGGGGCCCAATGTCCCGGTGTATAAGAAAACCTACCAACCTTATGTTCCTTTGTGGCCCAAGAAAAATGAAATAAAAGGGTGCTGTTGTTGAAAGGGATACTATGTGACAAAAAAGAGTCACCAGTACTGGGAAAAGGTTTAAAAGTTATTTTTGGGTGGATAATGAGAAAAAATTAGCAGGAAATATCTTATGACTTGTTTATTGTGAAAAGGCTAGGGAGTTGCTGAAAAATTTGGGAAAGAAATTTCCCGCAAATAGTGGGAATGAGTGAAATTTAAAGGCCCGAAGGGGTTTGAGAGATTTAAGAACCCTATGGCATACACAGTGTGGTTTGGGTGGGGGCTGCCAGTTCGGACCACAAGGCGGCCCCGAAAATATGTGGGGAATTCCAGGAGCAAGAGGCTGAAGGGCTGAAACCCCCGAACAATGTTAATTTGGGGTAAAAGGCCCTTTTGGAAGAAAAGCCAAAAAAGGACCTTCATTACACAAAAGGAAAAGGAATGCCAGGGCACAAGCCTATAAAGACGGGGTGATGCTAATGTTTTTGTGCTAAAGCTAGTGGGGATTTCAAAAGTGAGCTGGTAAGTGTACCCCTTCTGGAAAAACCCCGAGTGTTTAGGAAAAAAAAATGTTAGAAGGTAAATTTTGTAGTTTTGGAAATTTTAATGTAAGGGATGGGTCACGGGGAAATTTTTTTTGTCGATGGTTCAATGAAGTGTTTGGCCCCAGTGTGAGGAGTATTCCTGGAAAAAAAAATTGCACTCAAATGCCGCTAGTAATGGACAATGCACGCTCATCCCCCAAAAATTGGTGATAATTTCGAGGGTTTGGGTTCATACAGTAAAATTCTTGCCCCCCGAAAACCCCTCCTTCCACCAAAGGGCCGAGGTTATTTTAAATTTAAAAAAACTCTACACAAAAACAATGTTTCACAGGTGTTGATGTGACCACAGACACTACTTGACCCCAAAGGGGAAATTTTTGGGGAGAACATTCAGCTCCTCCATGATTTCCCCTTTTGGTATGGTTGGAAGGGAGTGCACCCGGACTTTGAAATTGCCTGGAGAAAATTGTGGCAGATTTGTCGACAAGAGGGGGTTTTTAAGAAATTTTGGGGTGCCTAATGGCCTTGCTGTTGTAAAATCAATTGTGGCACTGGGGGGTTCCATGGAGTTGGATTGGTTTGGAGGAGTGGAAAGAATTGGGGGAAGACCACAATGAAGAGTCCCACTGAGGAGCTGCAAGAGCTTCAGCAGGGAAAACAACACATCGGCTCGAATTTGCTGCAGAGGAGGAGGAAGAGGATGGGGAAGAAGGGCCTTCTTCAGAAATTAAAAAGATTTTTACTTTTGGGGCAAGATGGGAAAACTTTATGGGAAACATCACCCTAACAAGGTTGTTGGCAAGCCGGTTTGGGAAAAATGTACATGACAAAATCTTGGGCCATTTAGGGAAGTTTAAAAAGGGGCGTTGAAACAGAGCTCTTTTCCAAGTTATTTTTTGGGGGACAAGGACTCCCGTGCTCTCAAGGTGGTCCTAGTGGGATTAAGAAACAGGAAGAGAAGCAACCCCCGAAAGCAATGGTACCTGAGGTGTTGTGGAGGGGATTCCCCTTCCAAACTATAAACAATCCCCTCTCTCTCCTCCTCCGTTCCCTACACAAGAAAAAAACTCAATAAGGTAAGTGTTATGTTTTTAAGTTTCATATCATTTTCCATGTTTGTTTATTATACATGCATTTTCATGTTAAAAATTTTTTTGTTTTATATTCTGGGTGTAGGAAGGATTAATTTTATTTTCATTTTTTTTATGGGGAAAATTGATTCGTAAATCGTAAATTTGTTTTATAGTACGGCTCCAGGAACGGATTAAATTTCGGAAAAGAGGGCCACTGGTAGGTATTGTGGTAATGGGGTTCGGTGACACTGAGCGTTGTTGAAATCTAGCCATTGTGTGTGGGGGGGGGGGGGTTTGGGGTGTTGGTGACCCCCCGGTGTTCTTAAAGTTTGCCGTGTGTAATTACTTCAGATGACAGGAAAAAAATGTTCGTTACCCCCTTCTTGTGAGGGGTTAGGGGCCTGGTTGGTTTAATAGCGGTAAGTGATAACTGGGGCGTCTCGGACGTTTGTCTGTCCTTTTTATTCTTCTCGTTGGTTTGGAGGTGACCCTTTGTATTCCCAAAACTGTTAAAGTGAGACAGATTACCCCCTCCTTTTGGAATCACTCTCCATGTAAGTACAATTTCCTAAAAAAGTGGTTTATTATTAAAAAAATTTAATAGAAAAGACTGAAAAAGGGTTAAGTTTTTTTTTGGTTTGTTAATGTCATTTTTTGTTAAATTTTTCTATGATTTTAATATTTTATAAGTGTTTTTTCATTCATTACCTTTGAAATTTTTGATTGTGACCAGCTCTACCCGGAGCTCATTACCCTTTGTAAATTCTCATGATTAAAGTGTTTGATTCTTCCTTCGCAATTTTTTATGTGTGACCAGCTCTACCCCGGGTCATTACCTTTGTAAATTGGTCTGATTATGACCGATTAGTTCATTACCCCTTTTTAACTTGGGTCGCTATCAAAAATTTGGAGTCCCGCCCTGGACCAATTATGTCCTCTGTAATCTTTTGATACCGCCCCAGGGTGGGTTTTGGGGTGCTAATAAAAAATATTAAACTCTAATGGTCAAAAGTGAAGCTTTCAACCAAAAAAGCCCCTAAAAATATGATAGGCGTGTTCTTACGTGTGTTGGGAGCTGGGGAGTGAGTGATTTTTCTGTTTTTACCGGAGCCCCCACGTCACCCTTTTGGGGGTGGAGGGAAAGAGGGGGGGGAAAGGGGTAACGGGGCTAGAGGGGCCCTACCTTAACAAGCAGCAGCAATCAACTATCATTTGGGGAGGGGGAAAAAAAGGGGGGGGGGAATAGTGGGGTGGACTTTCCCTACCTTAAAGTGCCCGGGAATGAACTATTGTTATTACACTCCCTCGCTATCCTTCTAATTTAAAATTTTCCCCCACACAGTGTTTAATAAATTTTGGATCCGGAAAATCAGCGCCCTTGCTTCTAACTGAGTTTCAAGCTTTCATCCAAAAATTTTCCAAAATTTTTAAAAAAATCTTAGACATGTGAGAAGTTTTTTTTATTATTATTATTTTTTTTATTATTTAAAAATTCGCCGGGTATTTTCCGGCCCGGGCCTTTTTTGCAAGTGGTGGGCCCCGGGCCCTTTGGGTCCCCCTTTTGGGAGTGTCTGAGACCCAAGTCTGCCTCCCCCCCCAAGGGGGTTAATAGGAATGACGTCTTGTGAGCTGAAGCTTGGCTCAGGCCCTTTTTCCCTAAAAGGGCTAGGTGGTGTCGATGCACTAGAACGAGAGCCCGAGTGGTAGTGTAGAATAATTACCTAAACCCCAGTCCAGGTTAAATTAGTTTTTATTTTTTATTATTATTTTTATTTTATTTTATTTTATTATTATTATTTTTATTATTATTATTTTATTATTATTTCCTAGATAATATATTTTTCAATTGTTACTAATAATAGAGTTTGAGTTCGGAGGAACACTGTGTCCACTCTGCCTCCTGCATTACTTTATCATTACTACAGACTAATTATTTGTCTGGTGACATGAATCTGATCCTGTTTGATACTAGGCTACTTTATGTGATGTTATATAATACTTTACAACACATATGTGATCACGTAACATAAGGTAAGCAAATGCTGCCTGTATCTTCAAGGCAGATACAGCAGAAGTCACTGAACTCAGATCACTTTGTATATAATCAACTCTCATCGAATACTTACACTCACTTGATATTATTGATGGTGTTATCAGTGTATATCTCTGGCACTCTTGTAGGCGGTGGTTACCTTGCAGCTTTGTCTATATATCTTTAATAGCTGACAGTGTGGGTGGACGTCTACTCTCATCGCCTCCGTGATTCTATGTACTTTATCTACTCCTTTGTTGTTGAGACATGGAAGTATATTTAACTTATTGTTCATCTTTGTGGTATCTGTTAGGTAAAATAACACAATTACGACTATTGGAACATTTTATTGTGGCAATGAATCGCTCTCCAGGAACTTTGTCAAGCGAGAAAATTGCCAGGATAAAATGTCGCATTAGTCGCATTTGAGTTCTTTTATTTAACATATTGTTGGTAATTCTAGCAATATTAACACAACTTGTGGTATCTGTTAACATAAACCAGTTGGTTTTATTAATTGTTTAATCATTAACGAACCATTGGTTATAAGACATACTCGTATATGTAATAAATTATTGTCTAGAGTATAATTTTTTTTTTCAATTTCATACTACTGTAATCTGAGGAAAGTCAACTTAATTATAAGCATTGAAATTCCTAATATATATATTCCCTTGCCTATGATTTTAATAAATTTACATTACCAATAAGATACTTCTATCATTATCCTCCTGACATATTCTAAATGATTAAAATCATAACCATAATTTTTTAAAGGGGTTGACAGGTCAGCTAACGGAAGGTCTCTGTCAGATGACCAAAAGCTCGAGCTGCGGGTCATCATATAACTAAGACCCGCGTCAGGAAACACTTGTCCTGTTTCCTGAGAAACATTACCTAACCTGGGAGGCCTGGTCATGGACCGGGCCGCGGGGGCGTTGATCCCCGGAATAACCTCCAGGTAACCTCCAGGTAACCTCCAGGTAACCTCCAGGTAACCTCCAGGTAACCTCCAGGTAACCTCCAGGTAATCTATCCTCCTGATATGATGAACTGTAGCTTCTTATGTTATAATTTCTGCTTACTCTTTCATTTATTTTGGTGACTCTTTTTGTAATATCAGCACACATGTCAGACTGAGGAAAAAGCAGCCCTGATCAATCAAACAGTTAGTGTTGGCACATGATAGAAGAGTACATTAATTACGACAAAACTTGCTGTGTTGATGTAATTTAGGTATATTGATTTAATTCAAAATGACACTGGATATTTGCAAGATTTATTTCTTCAATAAAAGCATGAGCAAGAATGCATTACACAAACAGTTTATGATATTTATATGAAAGCTTAAAATAATTTTTTTGAATGAGGCCAAAAAAATTATTATAACAAAATTTTATAACACATTTTAAAGAAAAATCCCGTTATGAAGCGTGAGAGGTTTCCAGTGTATTACTGCCTCTTGGTATGTAAACAGTAAATATGAAGCGTGAGAGGTTTCCAGTGTGTTACTGCCTCTTGGTATGTAAACAGTAAATATGAAGCGTGAGAGGTTTCCAGTGTGTTACTGCCTCTTGGTATGTAAACAGTAAACATGAAGCGTGAGAGGTTTCCAGTGTATTACTGCCTCTTGGTATGTAAACAGTAAATATGAAGCGTGAGAGGTTTCCAGTGTGTTACTGCCTCTTGGTATGTAAACAGTAAACATGAAGCGTGAGAGGTTTCCAGTGTATTACTGCCTCTTGGTATGTAAACAGTAAATATGAAGCGTGAGAGGTTTCCAGTGTATTACTGCCTCTTGGTATATGAACAGTAAACATATAATGATCAATAAAGCAACAAGGAAGACATATCTCCAGAGGATCAAGACATTCCCATCATTTTCATATATATTATTCCACTGATTAAGGACACTTCCCTGGAGAGTGTCACAGACTGTCTCACACGACTGTTCACACATCTGAAGAAAGAAGACATTCACGATTAGTAAGTTTTACAGAAATATTTTGATAAAAATAATATTGACTGATTTGTCACCGAAACATCTAATATTATCTTCAGGTTTTGAAATCTTCACGCAGTATAGAAATACACACAGAAAGATCAATACTAACACAGAAAAAAAAACACAGACACGCAAACACACACAGACACACACACACACACACTCACATATACATATGCACACACACACATACACATACACACACATACAAACGCCCACACACACAAACAAATACAAACCCCCCACACACACAAACACACACAAACACACATACACAAAACACACACACACACACACACACACACTCACACACACACACACACAAAACCACACACACAAACACACACACACACCACACAACACACACACCACACAACACACACACATACACACGTTTCGATGGAAGGAACTAGAACACCTAAGAGGATACAAAGGGAGACACAGTGGGAGGAGGAGATGGAGAGGTCAGTGTTTGTCTACGGGCTCTGAGAAGTCGAAGGGAAAACCTGTGATGAAAAAAACCAGAAGACAGTGATCGAAGGTATCATGAAAGCAATAGGTGAGGGAGACATGATCCAGGTGACAATTTTTTCGGAGAATGGGTGGTTTTCGAGTGGAAGCAAACGGCTTGCCAAAGTAATTTTCAAGGCAGAATCAGCTCGAACCAGGATCCTGCAGGAGAAAGTATGACTGAGGGACAATCCAGAGTAAAGGAGAGTGTACCTCGATTGCAACAGAACACAAGAAGAAAGGAGGATTCTGAGAGAGAGGGTACAAAGATGTAAGGAGAAACGAGATGCACTGATGAAGATGAGCAGAACCCAGACTCAGGTGAAAGGGCAAACACACCTTACAGAAATACCCAAAGAAGAACTCAGACCACGACAACCCCAAAGCAACTGACCAATCTCAACCAAAACCCCACACACTGTTCCCTCTGCCCACACCCCCACATCACAAACCCCCCTTTCTACAGCAGCCCCCTATGGGCACTCTGCCTCCAACCCCATCACAAACCCTACCCAAGCTGCAACAACACCAATGCAACTGAACAATCTAAGCCAAATCCCACACACTATTTCCTCTCCCCCCACCCCCACATCATAAACCCCACCCCTACAGCAGCTCCCCACGGGCACTCTGCCCTTACCCCCATCACAAACCCCACCCACACTGCAAACCCCGATAGGCCCCCTCCAGGGCTCGTGCTCCCCCAACCCCAATATTTTCCCAGGACCACCATGATAGATAAGAAGTTGAAGGTGTGGTACACGAACGCAGATAGATTAGCATATAAATACGAGGAGTGGCATGAAAGAATCAATGAGAAGTCCCAGACATCATAGCAGTCACAGAAACGAGACTCACCGAGACAATAACAGATGCAGTCCTCCCACCGGGATATCAGATCCTGAGGAAAGATAAAAGGAGCAGAGGGGGAGGAGGAGTTGCACTACTCATAAAAAACGATGGGGTTTTGAGGAAATGGAAGGCATGGGCGACACTGGAGAAAGGGACTACAAAGTAGCTACAATTCAGTCTGGGGAACTTAAGGTAGTCATTGCTGTGATATATAACCCACCACAGAACTGCCGGAGGCTAAGAGAGGAATGTGAATAGAACAACAGGGCAATGGTAGACACACTGGCTGAGGCGGCACGAAGAGCTCAATCGTGCAGAGCAAAGTTACTGGTTATGGGTGATTTCAACCATAGGAAGATCGACTGGGAAAACCTGGAGCCTCACCGGGGTTCTGACGCATGGAGAGCCAAGATGATGGTACTGGAAAACCGCATGCATCGACATGTCAGGGTCAATACCAGAGAGGGAGGGGAGGATGAACAAGCAAGACTGGACCTTATGTTCACCCTGAGCAGTTCAGACATTGAGGACATCACATATGATAGGCCACTTGGAGCTAGTGATCACGTGGTTCTGAGTTCGGATTACATAGCAGAGCTGCAAATGGAGAGGGTAACAGGAGTCGATTGGGAAAGGCAAACTATAAAAGGGGGGACTACTCAGGTATGAGAAACTTCTTGTGGGAGGTTCAGTGGGACAGAGAACTGGTAGGAAAGTCAGTAAACAAAATGATGGAATATGTAACAACAAAATGCAAGGAGGCAGAGGAAAGGTTCGTTCCAAAGGGCAACAGAATTAATGGGAAGACCAAAGTGAGTCTTTGGTTTACCCAAAGGTGTAGGGAGGCAAAAACTAAGTGCATTAGAGAATGGAAGAGGTACAAAAGGCAAAGGACCCAGGAAAATAATGAGATCAGTCGAAGAGCCAGAAACGGGTATGCACAGATAAGGAGGGAGGCCCAGCAACAGTATGAAAACGACATAGCATCAAAAGTCAATTCGGATCCAAAACTGCTGTAGAGCCACATTAGGAGAAAGACACCAGTCAAAGACCAGGTGATCAGGCTGAGGAAAGAAGGTGGGGAACTCACACGAAATTATCAAGAGGCATGTGAGGAGCTCAAAAAGAGATTTAACGAAGTATTCACAGTGGAGACAGGAAGGACTCTGGGAAGACAGGCCAGAGGGGGACACCAACAGGGAATACACCAACAAGTGCTGGATGACATACACACAACTGAGGAGGAGGTGAAGAAGCTGCTAAGTGACCATGAAACCTCAAAGGCAATGGGACCGGACAGCATCTCCCCGTGGGTCCTTAGAGAGGGAGCAGAAATGTTGTGTGTCCCATTAACCACAATCGTCAACACATCCCTTGAAACTGGGCAACTACCTGAGGTATGGAAGACGGCATATGTAGTTCCCATTTTTAAAAAAAGGAGACAGAAAAGAGGTGCTAAACTACAGACCAGTGTCACTGACGTATATAGTATGCAAAGTCATGGAGAAGGTTAACAGGAGGAGAGTGGTGGAGCACCTGGAACGGAACAAAAGCACAAATGACAACCAGCACGGTTTCATGGAAGGCAAATCCTGTGTCACAAACCTTCTGGAGTTTTATGATAAAGTAACAGAAGTAAGAGACTAGAGAGAGGGGTGGATTGATTGCATCTTCTTGGACTGCAAGAAGTCCTTCGACACAGTTCCTCACAAGAGATTAGTGCAGAAACTAGAGGATCAGGCGCATATAACGGGAAGGGCACTTGAATGGATCAGAGAATACCTAACAGGAAGGCAACAATGAGTCATGGTACGTGATGAGATATAACAGTGGGCACCTGTGACGAGCAGGGTCCTACAGGGGTTGGTCCTAGGGCCAGTGCTATTTTTGGTATATGTGAATGGCATGATGGAAGAGATAGACTCAGAGGTGTCCCTGTTCGCAGATGATGTATTATTAATGAGGAGAATTAAATCAGATGAGGATTAGGCAGGCCTTCAAAGAGACCTGGACAGGCTGGACACGTGGTCCAGCAACTGGCTTCTCGAATTCAATCCTGCCAAATACAAAGTCATGAAGATCGGAGAAGGGTAAAGAAGACTGCAGACAGTGTATAGGCTAGGTGGCCAACGAATGCAAACCTCGCTCAAGGAGAAAGATCTTGGCGTGAGTATAACACCGAACACGTCTCCGGAAGCACACATCAGCCAGATAACTGCTGCAGCATATGGGCGCCTGGAAACCTGAGATTAGCGTTCCAATACCTAAGTAAGGAATCTTGCAAGACACTGTACACCGTGTACGTCAGGCCCTTACTGGGGTATGCAGCACTTGTTTCGAACCCACACCGGGTCATGCACGTTAAGAAATTAGAGAAAGTGCAAAGGTTTGCTACAAGGTTAGTTCCAGAGCTAAGAGGAATGTCCTATGAAGAAAGGTTGAGGGAAATCGCCCTGACGACGCTGGAGGACAGTAGGGATAGAGGAGACATGATAAGGACATTCAAAATACTGCGTGGGTTAGACGAGGTGGACAGGGACAAGATGTTCCAGGGATGGGTCACAGAAACAAGGGGGTCACTCTTGGAAGTTGAAGACTCATATGAGCCACAGGGATGTTAGCAAGCATTTCTTCAGTCATAGAGTGGTCAGGAAGTAGAACAGTCTGGCGAGCGATGTAGTGGAGGCAGGAACCATACATAGCTTTAAGACGAGGTATGATAAAGCTCATGGAGCAGGGAGAGAGAGGACCTAGTAGCGTTCAGTGAAAAGGCGGGGCCAGGAGCTAAATCTCGACCCTTGCAACTACAATTACGCGAGTACACACACACACACACACACACACACACACACACACACACACAATCCACACTCACAACCCCTGCCCCTCACTTTGCAGTAGAATCCCACAGCACCCAGCCAGGTACCCCACTCCCCCAACACCCACAGACCCCCAGAGCAGTGTTGGAGAGGAAACTGAAGGTATGGAGCACCAACGCTGATGGAATAACGAATAAATGGGAGGAGTGGCACAAACAGTTGATAGGGGCAGCACCAGGCATCATATCTCTCACAGAAACCAAACTCACGGGTATGATAACAAATAGTATCTTTCCAACCGGGTATCAGATCCTGAGGAAAGACAGAGTAAACAGAGGAGGGTGGAGAAAGGGCCCTGCTCATCAAAAACCAATGGAATTTTGAGGAGCTGAGAGAGGAGACAGAGGAGAAGTAAGAGACTACATAATAGGAACACTTCAGTCTGGAAGTCCCAAGGTGGTAATTGCAGTCATGTACATCCTACCGCAGAATAGCTGGAGACCAAGATAAGAATATGATAAGAGTAACAAAGCTGGGTGAAGTGGCCAGAAGGGCCCATGTAGGCAGTGCAAAGCTACTGGTTGTAACTTCAATCACAAAGAAATTGACTGGGAAAACCTGGAGCGATATTGGGGCCCAGAAATTTGGAGGGCTAAGATGATGGATGTGGTACTGGAAAACCACATGCATCAACACGTTAGGGAGACTACCAGAGAGAGAGAGAGAGAGAGAGGAGAAGACGAACGAGCAAGGCTGGACCTAGTATTCACCTTA